TCTGGGACAACCCCGCAGAGAGAAACACACGGGCAAGGGAGCCCGTGGCAGTTGCTATAGGCAACGCATCCCTCTGTTAGCAACACCTTACAGGCCTAGAATTTTCCACAACACCACCAGGTTCATTTGTGAAGGAAGCAGCTTCTTGTCCACACACCCCATCAACTTCATATCCTCCTGGCCCATAGCTTCACCCACTTCCTTCTGACACCCTAGAGGTAATCACCTTGAGGAGAAGAGAAAACAAGGGCCCCCCCCCACGACAAGACCCATTTTCTCATCTGTAAACTGAGAGGTGAGGCGCACAAACAGGGATCAAGAGAGTCCCCCTCAGGTGGTTGAAAGAAACAAGTGCTTTTGCTTTCTGCAGACATACTTCACTTTGGAAGGAAAAGTGTGTGTTTCGGGCAGCCTCATGGAGAAAGTAAGAATCTGCAAATCCACTTAATACAAACCCAAACAGATATCCAAACCCCAGGAGACAAAGAAAGTTCTTCTGGAAAACAGTAATACAGCAACTCTCCCCATAACCGTTTATTTCATATTCAAATGCTAGTTCATGAACACAGTCAAATTACATTTGAACTTCTACACATGGCTTTCAATTAATGTTAATTGTTATAATTACTGGCTACAATCATAACTGGGGCTTCTCAGGTGGCTCAGTGATAAAGAATCCATCTGCCGATGCAGGAGATGCAGTTAGATTCCTGGGTCAGGAAGATGCCCTGAAGAAAGAAATAGCAACCCACTGCAGTATTCGTACCTGGGAAATCCCATGGACAGAAGAGCCTGGCAGGCTACAGTCCATGGGGTCGCAAAGAGTCGGACACAACTTGGTAACTAAACAACAACAATCCTAACTACAATGGTTTCCTAGGAATGCGACCCTCAAGTCACGAAGGCTCTACGACAGTCAGTGCTTTCTGGACGTGGCACGTGTTCAAGCGCATGGTCTTATTTTCAAGACCTACTGACCAGAGGGATCAAACCCAAGCCTCTTGCGTCTCCAGCACTGCAGGCAGAATCTTCACCCTCTGAGCCACCACGGAAGCCCCTCTTAACCCAGAAACTTCCACTTAACAGAGAGAAGTTCCATCAGGAGCCCTCCAAGGAAACCTGATTCTTGACCTTGCCACGTGGGGGCTCACACACCCCTCTTCTGCAGAATCCCAAGACCCCTGTTGGCCTCATAAGCCAGGGGTAACAATCTCTTGAATCTGAGAGAAAATCTCTTGAATCACCAGGACCGTAACATAAGTTCCTTTAGTAAAGTTCTTTGACCTGGAAATTTTGCATAATTAACAGACTGGAAGAGAAGGTGATTCCTGATGACAGAATGTCAGACACCTGAGAAAAAAAGAAATCTGGGCTCTGGAATTTCTTCAGGATTCTTCCTTCACATAGTTAGAGGGGGACTGTCCACCTACTCCACCCTGCTGGAACCATGGGACAAGCTGGAGACCATGGGTGCGGTCTACAAGATATCTGTACATCCACCAACCAAGTCCTAACTGCCACATCCTGATGTTGCAGGAATATGAAGCCCCTTGCTTAGAAGAAAATGTCACATAACATACAGGACAGACAGAACTTGCAAATCACACACAAAGACACATATACATGGTGTGTATATAATGCATATTATTGGTACATATTAATTATCACGTGATTAACATATAGTAATTACATAATATATTGTACAATTAATATATAGTAGCTATAATTATATATTATGTACATTTGATACATTGATTATATGTATAATTAACATGTACTACATACATTAAGAGTACAGTTGACTCTTGAACAACTAGGGTTAGTTGAAAATTTGTGTCATAACTAATCCTATATATGATTCTTCCATAGCCCCAATTCCACATCCTCAGATTCAACCAGCTGCAGATTGTGTATACTGTAGTATTTACTATAGAAAAGAAATTCTTGTATAAGTGGACCTGCGCAATTCAAACCCACATTGTTCAAGAGTCAACTGTGCTTGAAAATCAAAAATAAATGATGAAACTCCCCTAGAGGAAAAATATACAGGCAAAGGACATAAAATGTAAAGAAGTGAAATAACATGTGGAAGTAAGATACTACCTTCCATCTCCCAAATGACAAATTCTTTAAAAATTATCAGTACTCATGAGAGTGTGTGAACACCTGATACACGGCTGGTGGGAGTATGAGTTGGTATTTCCAGAGGGTATTTAATAATATGCTTTAAAATCCCTAAAAATACACATAGTCTTAGACTACGCAATTGTACTTCTAGAAATTTATTCTCAAAAGTGTTAATGGATGTACTCAAAGATTTAGTCTTTTTTCATTGTCTATTATGGTAAAAAGTAAAAGCAACCTAAAGAGCCAACAGTAAGTTTTTAAAATAAAAACAAATATAGAGTATGAAACAAAGCTACTATGATATTAAATACCATTACCAAACATTATGATTGCTGTTAAAAAATTGTGTATATAAAAAAGTACTGGAAGTATATACAACAAATATTAATAATATTTAACAGTGGGTGGTAAAATCACAAGCGATTTTTTTCTTTCTTTTTAATTATCTGTATTTTCTACAATTTCTTTTTGATTATCTGTATTTGCTACAGTCTGTATTTGCTATATTGGCCTAAAACTTCTAATATGTATCTGGCAGCATTTAATAGCTTTTATTTTGTAAAATGTTATATATGAAGACATCATATCACCCCAAGAGTATGAATTCCTTGAATCCCAGGTTCTAGGTCAGATTTATCTTCATAAACTCCCCATGATATTAGCTTAGAGTCTTGAACAATTACAATTACCATTTATTGAATGTTTGCCATGTGGCAAGCATTTTATTAAATTGTGTTTTTTAATTCAGTAAAATTCAATAAAAACTTGTTGAAGGAGGGAGGGAAGGAGGCGGGCAGATGGAAAGGAGTGAATGAATAAATGTCCAAAGATCTGAAACAAGCTGGCAGCTCTCTCACCAGGAAGTGACCTGCTCACTTTTGAGGTCCCATCTGACCAGCAGACCACACCAATGTGTTAGACCATTTTCCTCTAGGGAGAATGGGAGCAGAAAGGGAGTAGGTGTTAGGCAAGGGACAGCCACACTACAAACTTGAGTTTTCGAAGCCACCGTTTTTGAAAGATCTCACAGGGAACTGCCAGGTAAAACTTAAAAATCATTTTTGGAAGCTTTCTAACTAGATTCACAAAAACTAATATTAACACAGCCTTTTGATGAATCACTTTGGACCTTGGCAACCTTTAATTCATTCCTACAAAAACTCCCAAGCATTCACTATTAGAGGGTGAAAAATAAACTTAGGCACAATCTCATTCTTAAGGAACCTGCAGTGTAAGGAATAGTTGCTGAAATACTGGCTCAAGGCTAGGTGTGAGCCCTCACACAGAACTAGGAGGCCAAGACGAGTGCAGAAGGAGTTCTTTCTCATGGGGAAGAAAAGCAGAGGAGGAAGTAAGTGAGAGTTGGAATAGACAAGATTTCTCAATGCAGAGTTGGGAAAATGGCATTCCTGACTGAGGGGACAGCCTGAGCAAAGGCTCTGAGGGGTGGGATGGGGGCCAGGGCAAGCCATCATGAGTGTGTGGAAGAAACAGATCTGCCATGTCAACTGAGGCAAGAAAGGCAAGTTCAAGCCAGAATGGAGAGACTTTGGAAGCAGGTAAAGGCGTTCAGACTGAATTCTGGTAGTAATGTGTCTAGCCCATGCCCCCTAAATCTTGGGCCACTCCATTAGAAGAAGAAAAGTGGCCCAGATCCTCTCCAATAGCCTCTTCTTGCCCCTGACAAATTCCTGCTACACTTCCAAAAAGCACCTTAATATACCCCTCACTTTCATAGGCTTCGATAAGCTCAGATTTACAGCCATGCTGCCCTGAGCACACACAGAAGTAGAAACGCTGAAGCAGCTCCGTGACACCTAGCTGGTCCTTGACCCTGCTGGTCTCCAATCTCTGACATCCTGGAGAGGAAGCCTCCCTGGCTTAGCCCATCTCCTGGGAAAATGAGGAGATAATCCTTGGACCAGTTGATTCAATACAGTACAGCATGGAACCGGTAGTAAAAGCACCAAGAACTGATCTCAAATTCAGCTTCTGGAGAGTCAGTCCTGTGGTCCTGCTTCCTCTAAGGACCATGGAGACACCTCCAGGCCCCTCTTAGTAAAGGGTTTGGGAAGGGAGCCACTGGAAATCCCGAGGACATGAGACAGATGTTTTCAAATGTTTTAGTAGCATGATACATCCCTCCCGCCCTGCCTTCTTCCGACTCTAAATGTGTCTCTTTTTCTGCCTTGTCTTCCCTGTCTTCCTTCCTACCTCCTTTCTCTTTCTCTCTCTCTCCACTTGTGTCCCTTTCTCTCCTTATTTCAACTTTTGTGAAACCTACTCTTCAATCTCTTTCTCTGAATCTATCTCTATGTGTCTGTCTCTCAGAGCCAGATCATCTCTCTCTCCGCGTCTCTGACATTCTGTGGCTTCTCCGACTTTATATTCCTGAACTGGTGTGTAGGTGCATCTACTAATGTATCTGCCCGGACGTCTCTTGTCATTCGGTCTCTCCTATCTGTGTGTCTTTCTGTGTCTCTGTCTTACTGTCTGTCGTGCACGTCTTTCTGTCGCTCTCTCTCCCCGTACCTCTCCATCTCTCTGCCTCCATCCGTGCCTCTATCCCTCCTCTCCCGGCTCGCGTTACTAAAATCGCAGCGAGGAATGGAGCAGCTCAGAAAGGTGTGACCCTAAAAACCAGCTTAAGCGGGATGCCGGGTTAGAGCGGCGGGAGGGGTACCGCGGGGACAGCCCCGGTGACGGCCGAGCCACACATGCGACTTCCCGGCACTGTCGCCGCTCCCCGGGTCTCCCGCTTGGCGAGCGCCCCGCGACCCAGCCCCACCCCGACCACCCACCTCCCTGGCTCAGAAGGACCCTCGCCACCCCCCGGAAAGCCGGAAGTAGGGCAGAGGGCGGAAAGTTCTCACCGATGGTGAAGCTGTAGCCATCGATGCTGAAAGTGGCGCTCCGGCATTTTTTGAAGCCCTCTTTCCTGTTGCTGGCGTCCGTCATGGCTTGGCCGGCGGCGTCCTGAGGTCCCCAGCGGAGGGGCGCGCACACCGGCGCCGGCGCCCCGCTTTCAGCCGCGTCCCCCACCCGGGCGCGCGGCGCGCTGTCCCCGCCGGTCCGCCGCTCGCTGAGAGCGGAGCGCGCCGGCTGCTGGCACCGCGAGCGCGAAGTCGACTAACGCACTAGGCGCACGGCGGAGCCAGCGAGCCTCGCAAAAGCCCCATCTCCAGTGCCAGGTTCCAGCTACCACGAGAGGAGTGCGAACAAAGGGAGTCGACGCGCACCCGCGCTCGTGGATGGGGGCTGGCGGGGGGTGGGTACCGAAATCCCTGTCTTTGCCACCTTCTCCCTGGAAGCCAGCGCGCTCCAGGCACGTCTGTTTTCTTTCTCAGCTTCGCCTTCCCCTCTCTGGAGGCTGGTGGGGTTTGGGGACTCAAGGGAATGGCTAAGATTTGGCGTCGTGCTTCTTTTGGATGTTTTCTCTGGCAGGCAAGAGAGCTCCCAAAAAACACATCAACAGATGGAAAAGCAAACATCCAAGCCGGTCAGATGCTGCCAAAGTTTGCTCCAAACAAGGAAGTCGGGAAAATCGCCACGCCCACTTCCTCCCAGCAGCTGTCCCCTGAACTAGCCTGGAACCCCGATAAGACTACTCGGCAGTCCCAGGCAAGGAAATAATCAAAGTAACCCATATTCGTGGCTAAGTGCTTTCACGCAGAGGTTCTAAGATGCACAAGTTCTAGTCCATTCCAAACGAACTGTCCGAGCTCTTTCCAATTGGTTTTGTCAAATAGACTTGGCAAAGTGTGTTGCCAAATAGAGATTCCTGGAATTTGTGGAGGTGGTAGAGATTTAACCAACCCTACAGCTAACCCCTCTTGTCACAGAAGAGGAAACTGAGGTGGACAGGGGCTGGACTAAGATCCTACAGCTAAAAAGTGGCAGTGTCTGGATAGAGTTTTATGATATCAAATCAATTACTGATCATTCCAGTAATTGACTGATCATTCCTGAAATGACTGAGTCAGGCAAGGCTTGTATAAGGGAAATCATTCCCTCCAACCAGCAAGCAATTGCTAAGGGTTTACAGTTGCGGTGTTCTGTGCCACCGGCTGGGGAGCTCACGTTAATGAGACCAGAGTTGAGTCCCTTGGCGGAGTCCATCCAGTGTAACACATGGAATGACAGTGTTATGCTCAGGTTATTAAAGAACTAGTTAATTCAACCTCATTTGTTGTGATGGAATTTAACACAATTACCAAGCACTTGTCAATATTAACGAGTCAATCAGGTATATCCCTAGTTGTTTCTGAGTTTAGAGAACAGTGGTCATAAGTCTTCAGAATCTAACTAAAATTAGAACTCTTCTCTCAAAAAAAAGTCACATACACACACACAGGTGCAATATTCCACATGCAATTTTAGGGGAACCATAAACCTCTCAAGCCCCCTGGAAATCAGATTAATATCTCAGGACCTGAATCTTCCTCAATTTACCATGTATTTTGAGAGAAATTAGGGTTTTTTAAATGTCAAATATAGTTGGAACTTCAATTGTAAATTCTCTATGGTAAGACCTAGAACCACATTGATAGTTTGCTGAGATCAATGGCAAGATTGATTGATCCAAAAAGGCAATGGGTGTCACAGAACTCAGGTCACACAGAACACACACACACACACACACACACACACACACACACACACACACAGAACTCGGGCACAACCTCACTTGGTAGTAGAGCATGCTTCAAACCCTGAGGCACTCCTTGAGACTGGGACTGGTTACAATGTGAAAGCATGAAGAAAGCTCTAGGGGTGAACTGAGTCTGAAATCTGGCTCCATCACTTACCAAATATATGACCTTGAGCAAGATACTAGACCTCCTGAGTCTTGCTTTCCTGATCTTACAATGAGGATTAAGTGAGAGGAAATGAGTGAAACTTAGGCATACCATGGACATTCAGTTTTTGCAATTACCAGGTGACTTCCAAGTTTCATTAGGTAGACATTGTAGAAAATTCTTCTTCATAGCAATAATATATTTTTGCTATTGTTATCACTAATTTTATAAAGAAAAAATTTATCTGTAAAATGTTTATAATATATGAGTACATATCATATACATTATAGTATATTATATATACTATATATAATAGTACATATAATAGCATATACTATTTATAATGCATTTTAATATAGTAACCCCCAAAAGTTTCTTATTCTCATTTCCCTGTATTTCTCCCACCTTCCCAAACCTTTAGCAAAATCACATGTCTTCTGTGTCACTGGAAGTTATGGAATGAGGTTCCTGAAAGCCCTGAGCTATAGTCTCCTATGGTAAGTTATCAAGAAAAAAAAATCCTAATGGGATGGAAAATTTTCCCTGAGTGAGTGAAATTAAAACTTGGTATTTAATCACTCTTAGCAGAAAAGCTTTTTGAAATATAATCTATAAAAATAATAACAATGTGATCATTTATCTGTCCCCTAAGACTGGTAAAAATAACTTGCATGAACAATTAGAACTGGTTTTAAATTGCTTCTCCCCAGAATTGTTCTCTCTCTCCCTGGTTTTAGAAACTGCACACCTACAGAACCACTGACTGCAGCGCTTCAAGTGCAAAGACTTAAAAGCAACCTTCTCAGTGTGGGGCTCTTACTCCACACCAAGTGAAGTCAAATACTAACATTCGATAAGCCAAAAAAGAATGAGTTCAATACCAAGACCAACAGAAGCATTGCTTTTGCTTGTTCTTTCAGGAATACTCCTTTAAGAATGCCTGTGAAATAAGAAAACTAAACCAAGATACCCAAGTAGATGGGTTAATCCTATGCCCTTATTGTTAGAGCAGGGGTCAGCAAACAGACCTGCAGGTCAGATCCAGTCTGTTCACCTGTTTTTGTAGAATCTTCAAGCTAAAAAAGTGATTCAGTGAGTGAAAAATTCAAAAATTTTCCATTCAAAAGAAGAACATGTAACACATTAAAACTACATGAAATTCAAAGTTCGGTGTCCACAAATACAGATGGTAGCTCATCTGGTAAAGAATCCACCTGCAATGCAGGAGACCCTCGTTCGATTCCTGGGCCAGGAAGATCCCCTGGAGAAGGGATAGGCTACCCACTCCAGTATTCTTGGGCTCCCCTGGTGGCTCAACTGGCAAAGAATCCACCTGCAACGAGGCAGACCTGGGTTCAATCGCTGGGTTGGAAAGATCCCTTGGAGAAGGGAACGGCTACTCATTCCAATATTCTGGTCTGGAGAATTCCATGGACTTCATAGTCCAAGGGGTCGCAAAGAGTCGGACACAACTGAGCAAGAGGCCAGCAAACAGACCTGCAGGTCAGATCCAGTCTGTCACCTGTTTTTGTAGAAACTTCCAGCTAAAAAGTGATTAAGTGATTGAAAAAGTCAAAAAACTTCCATTCAAAAGAAGACCATGTAACACATTAAAACTACATGAAATTCAAATTTCAGTGTCCACAAATAAAGTTTTATTGGAACACAGCTACATTCATCTGTTTACACATTGCATGTGGCTGCTTTTAAACCAACAGCAGAGCTGAATAGGTGTGCCCAAGACTGTGTGGCCTGCAAAGCCAAAAACACTTGCTATCAGTCCCTTTAGAGAAATTCATGTTTGCTGACTCCTAGATGATCGTAAATATCTTACACCTGTCGAGGCTTAGATAACTTTTGGTTCTATTATATTTATTATAAAATAAGTAAATACCATTATATTTGCTATAAAATGACTTATTTACTAAAAAATAAGTTTGATTTATAAAATAAATCACTGATCTGTTTTTAATTACTGGAATGGATTGTAACAAGGAAGGCAGAGCAACAAATGTTTGATGAATGAAAGAAGGAAGGAAAGAAACAGCATACATAAGAGTTTGATCCAGTTATTAGCAAGATTAATTAGGTTAAAATTAATTTCTCTCAAGATAATGCATGAACCTGGTTTCATCCCAAGAAAGTAGAAGAGGGTGAATTCAGTACTTAAATCAGTTCATAACTCATGGATCAGATAATGTCCTTCAAAATATAACAACTATATATGGAAAAATAAAAATCTAGAAGGAAACTCATCTGACTCAGGTGCTAATATCCTGTCCCCTGATACTCCCTGTATAGGGGCTGGTAACTGTTTCTATGTAAGAGAAAGAATGTTAACAGCTAACCCTGTTAAACTAGTGTTCACTGGTTTCTAAACATCTAGAAAAAGATGAGACTATATGTAGCATGTTTTATCAAAAGTCAGTTTTCTAAGAAAATAACTTTTTATTTGTCATGCCAAAGAGAAGACAACTCCCCAGCACTTCATTTGGAATTCTCCAGTTGCTCAAGAATTATAAATCCAAATTGCCTCAATAAAAGCATTGTTTATACCCCTCATGGGCATCCTCAGCTGTGTGACAACTACTCTAAATTGGGGGGAGGACGCTGTTGCAGTCACATTATCACAGAAATGCTATAGGCAATGAAGTTTCTGAACTGTAGCCCTGCTCTTCTGGCTGAAATTGGAACAATCCAGATAAGACTAATGAGCATCTTTGCTGAGAGTAGGAATTGTGAGAGGTAAAGAGACAGTTACAGGAAATTCCAGGCCCAGTTCCAGCCTGAACCTAAAAATCAGCTTCTCGCAAATTCTATGAGATGTCCTAGTACCTTACACTACATTCCCTCTTTGTGAGTGAGCCAGCAGATGGGAGTTTCTCTTGCTTGCCATCCTGAATCCTAGCTAATCCATCAAACACAGTCCCTTCAAGGAGAGATGTCGAGAAGAAAAAATAAACAAATAAACAGAGAAAGGGTGGAATGACACTATCATTACTGAGTGCCAACTACGTGACAGGCATTGCTGCTAACCAGGAAATGGTCCCTGGCTTTGAGGACTTTATAAGAAGAGAAAGTCCCGAACAGTCTCTGGAACCAGGGCTCTGAACAAAACAGCAGTCTCAGGAAGTCTATGTTTATGGAGGCAACTCCTCTCCAGCTGTCCTAACACCCTTCTCTGCTTCAGTTTGCTTCCACCTTATTGCTTCCCTAGAGCCTATTCTTGTTTCTTGTATTAATTAGGCCCAGGGAAGGCAACAACTATCTAAACAAACAGAATAAAAAGCAAAGTGCCTACACACC